TGTGGGATGGGGTTAACTCCAGCACGAAGATCCCCRCCCGAAACTTCTGAAACTGGTCCGCTTGGTCTCCAKCTTGAACCTTCCTCTTGGCGGAACCTCGTTGAGCGATCGGATCGCCTTGGGGCMTGATCCTTCGACTCTTCTTCTTTGTCTGGACAYTCCGTGGTGTGGTGACCGTACCATCTGCAAGTCCTGCACCAAGGTGTGWTAYTGKCCACCAGGTCTGCAGACAGTGTGTCGAGGCCTACTCTTAGTGTGAGGACCRGTTTAAATCTGGACTCGTGCGATCTATCGATACCGAATTTAGCATTAACCAAATGAGACATCGATTCGTCCTCCACCGGTTCAAACTCCTTAACGATGGGTCCTATCGCCTTTTTCACCATAGTGCGAATGAAGGAAAAAGATTATAGAGGAAACCTTACCGCCATTACCCAGTAATTTTCCACCCTCTCCCTCTCTCTTTCCGTTTCCCATTCATTTTTAGGAAGCCACGATCGAATAATTACCTTGTATTTTTGTCTGTCCAAAGTGAAGTTGATCTCCGGCTTCCTACCCATCATTGACTCTTTCGCCTCTATCGACCTAGCAATGTACGTAATCATTGATCTACTCTCCACGTGAGTGGAGCCCCTTCCCAACGCTTTGAATTCCGGCCTCAATCATCCATCCTCTAAATTCCGTACAAATTGTAACTTCTCCTTGTTTCCTAAGTTCTTGGCTTTTCCTCCGAAAATGAACACCACCGTATGATCCTTCAGCCATTGAATATGGATCTTGTTGAAATCTTCATGAACCATGCCGTTGATGCTGTCCTCTTTCGTGTCCACTTCCAGGTACTGGTCCAGATCCGGAATATTGCCCTGAATAAAACACTGCTGGAGCAGTGTTTGGATACGTTGTTCCTCTGCCCCATCGATGCTCGACGCCTGGTCCTGTTCACCCCCTTCTGCGTCCTGGTCCATTGTATCTGCTCTCAGGAGAAAGGAAAGGGAATACCAAGATGTTCGCCGCCCGATGGACGCGAGAGAGAGTAGATCTCGTCATCGTATTGGTCAGGGGGAGAGTGCAGGAGGAGAGGAGCTATTAGGAATGATGAAAGGAATTTAGGGATAATGATTACGGGAAGAAATCCGGGGTCGATCGTGTCACTTTCCTGGGAAGGTGAAAGTGGGACAGAAAGAACCTTTCCTTGTTTACGTTCCCTACATTCCTCAGTAGGGAAAGGAATGAAGTATCGAAACGCGACAACGGGGTGGTATTATTGGTGTCTACTTGGTTAAAGATAGGAAAGAACAAGAGAGGTTGTGATGGAAAGGAAAAATTTCCAGTATTGGCTGCGATCCAGAAAACCTATTGCGGTAATCCTGATCGTGGTAAGCGAAATCATAATAGAGCGGAGTATCTGGCGACGCTTCTGTGAAGATCTGGAGACAGGGCGAGAAGAGCTCGCCTTATCTACGTAGCATCTGGTAATTTCTGTTTTGGGACTTTGCCCCGGTAAGCCGCGCATCCTACTCCACTTCTAGCAAACGAAATGGAGCTACCATGAGAGGTTGATGCTCCCCTTAACTCGCCATCGCTGATGGTAAGTTAGGGTTAGCCAAGTTACCCTAGCACGGTAACTCGCGCTGGCGCAAGCGTAGACAACGCAGCTGAAAGCGCGTTCCGGTCGCCCTGTCTTTCCGCGAAAACAAAGTTGCACAACTTTCGTTCGCTGGTGCTCTTGTTTTCATGGAAGCTTTCTTTTTCCCCCAAAAAAATGTCACATTTTAGGGGCTCGTTCCACTACCCTCGACTCGGGTTGAAAAAAAGAAAAAAAGAAGAAAAAAAAAAAAATCAAGGGCAGCGCCGTTCCCCTATGCCCTTGAGATTCACTCATCACGATTGATAAGGGATTTAACTTTTCTGCCATAATAAATTCCCGCTCTGAAAGTGAAGGGCGGCTGTAGGGCGCCCGGGCAAACTGGGCCAATTTTCGAGTCACCTCCCAACCTGCGTCGTTCACCACGTCGCACATATTCCCACTCGTTTTTTCAAGGCGAACTGTAGAGTGTAGTGGAACGAGAACAAAGTCTAGTATTTTTCAATTACGTTCGGGTTCAAGGGCGCGTGTAGGGCTGCCCTTGAGATTTTTCTCAAGTCGAGGGTAGTGGAACGACGAGGGGGCCCAGCTATCGATGCCGAGCCTGGAATGCCCCTGCGCGCCAATTTTCGCCGAGGCGCCGGGGTACCGTTTTGAAAATTTTTTGGCTGGAGCTTCCAGCCATTCTGGTTCGGTACCCCGAAGCCCTAAAGGCACGGCGTGTTAACGGGAAAGCGCCGCGGCCGATAGCTGGGAAATGGGCCCAGCGTCCCTTACATCATTGTCTGCAGCCATCGGGATGAGCAAGGCAAACCGGCCAAGCAGATCCCTGACCACAGAGTCCAATGTCCCATCCCGGAAAATCCACGGTCACCTGATTCTCAACAACCCTAATTAGGTTCCACTATTGTCATCAACCCTACCTTAGTCCGCCGAATACATCGTACAGTCATTATAGCTGTATTTGAGGCATCTTTCAGTCTAGATACAGCTATAATGACCGTATGTTGTAT